CTCTGATCCTGATCACAACTGTCACAGCTTGTGCCTGAATTTCTCATCCTTCCAACCAGAACGACCTTTCTGGAAACATCCTTGGCCCTCAGAGTGTGCCTGGGCATTCCCTAGAAAAAAATCCAGTGGCTTCAGGACACAACACACTCAGGGACCACTTTACACTAGCTAGAGATCTCTCAAGTCCATGGTAGGACTGATACAGCTTAAAGGAAGCCTGAAATGCCTGAATTGTGGATATTCATCCCTCTGGGGTCAAATCCAGAATCGCATCTTGGACATTTCTGCTGTTTTCAGAAAATGCTTGAGGGACCTACATTCCCAGGGAGGACCAAACACAGGTGATGCCTGAAGGAATTGTCCTCAGTCCTCTGGCTGGAAGAAGAGGAACTTGAGCAACCTGGTCTAGTGCAAGATGTCTCTACCCACGGCTGGGAGGTTGGATGAGATGAGATTTAGGATCCCTTCCAACCCAAACCATTCCATGATTCAGTGATTCCAATCTCCATGTGACCATATCCCTGGACTCCCCTTTTTTCTTTCAGAGCACTGAACACCACTCATCTTTTTGTAAAAATCTTTACATCTTTCTGTAAAACTCCAGCAAGTCTGGAGTCTTTTCTACCATCCTTAGGAGCACCTGCTTTTTAGTCTTGGGATTAGTGAGCTTGAGCCAGAATTTGGGAAATGCAAGTACAGTTCCCTTTTCTGCTTGGAGAGGTTCAACTTCTCACCTCACATTTTCAGATAGGGTGTGTAAAGCAGCAAAATGAAGCTCAGACACAGAAAAAAAAAGGGGTAGGAGCTCTTTAGAGACTGAATCAGAGCTGTGAATCTGAACTTTTTGGGGTTTTTTTGGATACTCCCCATGGCGGAGAAACATTTAATACCAAACAGCCCATGGAAGACAGACCTGAAGCGCTCCTTGGAGAAAGGTGCTCACATTTTCACCCTTTTCCAGCCCAACGAAACCTGAATTCCTTCCTGCCCAGTGGCAGAGTTTCATCAGGAGGGTGGAGACCAACTCCACCCCAACAAGCCCAAAGTCTTGTTGTTGACACACACCCATGAGAGGTGGAACTTCCATTGGATCATCAAACATCGCTGCGGCCATGGGCACGGGCAGAGAGGTTCCCTGCTACTGAGTCACGCGTGAAGATAGTGGAGCATCCAAAAAGTCCCCTGGCAAAAATTCTACCCCTGTGGAATCAGGGGAGCTGAACTCCAGGTGGCTCAGTGTGATGACCAACAGTATCTGTATTTTCCTGCAAACCAATTATCACCAGGATGATTGGGAATCTGATATCTGGAAAATGGAGCAGATTCCATCCTGTGAAACAGCTCACAGGAAAGACATGGATGCCATCTGACATGCCCATGGTGTCAGATAGGGTTGGTTGGTGTTTTTATCACAGCAGTTGGATCCATCCAGTTTATTCCTGGGATTGCAGAGGAGAAGGCTCTGGGGTGACCTTGTTGTGAGCTCTCAGTGGCTGAAAAGGGGCTCCAGGAGAGCTGAAGAGGGATTTTAAACCTTGGGCATGGAGTGTCGGGATTTTGGACAAGGGCAGGGAGTGTCAGGACAAGGGAGAATGGCTTCAAACTGAGAGTAGGTGGATTTTATGGGATATTGGGAAGAAATTCTTCCCTGTGAGGGTGCTGAGGCCCTAGAACAGGTTGCCCAGAGAAGTTGTGGCTGCCCCATCCCTGGAAGTGTCCAAGGCCAGGTTGGACAGGACTTGGAGCATCCTGGGATAGTGGAAGGTGTCCCTGCCCATGGCAAGGGATTGAAACTGGGTGATCTTGAAGGTCACTTCCAACCTTAAACATTCTGGGATTCTATGGAGTGGCTCAAGAAAATGTTCAGATCTGGGCTGGACAACGTAGGAAAGAAGGTGGTGAAAGAGAGGGAGTTCAGAGAAGGACCATCAGAAGGATTAAAGCCTTGGAGAACAGAGAAGGAGTCAGAGACCCCCACCAAAGTCTATCCAAGGGATATCCCAGACAAAATATATTTCTATGGAGAAGAGGAAGATTGCAGCAGTGACAAATTGAATTTAGTAGAGAGGTGCAACAAGAGCCACTGGCTGTAGGGAGTCCATAAATCAGAGTAGAAATATTTCACACAGGAGTAATTTCACATGTGGCTGATAATCAACAACTGGAACAGCTGAGCAAAGCTTGTTGTTCACTCCCTCCCACAGAACATCTCATAAAAATGTGGGGTTTAATCACTCAAACAAGAACTGACTGTAAGGGAAGTTAGAGCAGGTGAAGTTTCTTACCTCACCTTCTTACCCGTAAAAAACAAATTTCTGTCATCTGCCTTTCCTGGTATTTGTGATAAGCAGAAAGTGATTATATCTCCCTATATTACCTTATAAATTAGGACAGTCTCCCAGAGACAGGCTGGGAGGTTTGGCGTGATCCCACTGACAATTCCTGAAGGCTTTTGGCACACAAACCTTTCTCCCTAACACACCACGCCTCGTTGATATTCTCAGCTCTCCAGACCTGAAATGACATTTCAACCAAAGTCCCTTCTGGCTCCTGTCAGTCAGTGCTTAAAACCTTTCTCAGGGCTTATTCCACCCCTGACAGAGACAGAAGGGAATTTTTAGGGCCTCCTGAGTCCTACAAGCTGTCTAAGCCTTACCAGACTGCTCTGTCAAACCACAGCTTCCACATACTTATCAGGTTTAAAGCAGGTCAGGTTTCTTCCCTGCCTTTGCTCAATAATCCCAAATTTTTTTAGTGTTTAAGATCCAACCTCAATTTCCAATTTCATTTTACTTAGGCTTGTCTTAACTCTGCCAAGCTAAAAGTGTTTTCCAGTGTCATCTTTTGGTGTGAATCCTGTTGTCCCACTCTCCTCATTATTGCTTTGGTTTTGGTGTTTGTTTTTTTTTTCATTAGGATCCCATTTTGTTCTTGACAGTGGAAGTGGAATTCTACCTGGGAAGCAAGGAGGGTGTTGCCACTTCCAAAATCAAAATCCAAATCCCTCCTATCCCAACACACACCCAGACACCACCTGGGGTTGTTTGTGTTGGGTTTTGAGTTTCTCTCTCCGTAAGCTCTTGATTATCTTTAGATCAAGGAATACCTTAAAGGTAACAGACCTTAAAGGTCTTTCCTTGTCTCCACAATTTTACTGGAATGCTCCCAAATCCTCATTCCCTGAAGTCTGGCACTGCTGCACCTCTGCAGGAGCGCTGGTGTTTTGCCAGTGTTTTACTTTATGGAAAGATCTCCAACCTTTCCAAGCCTTTAAGACAGAGTTGAGACAGTGATTAAGTATTTATATCCCTATTCCTTCAACCACACAGATTTATCCCAAGAATTTCTCAGTGCGGAATGACTTTCAGGTATGAGAGGATGTCTCCACGGACATTTCCACTCCACAATCCACCAAGCAGCTTTACTGTGTCAACCCCACTGTGCTTTCCCACTGAGGCACAACCACCTAGAATGCCGAAAGCACTGGATCTTTTCCAGTTTCACGGCTGTTAGTTAGGATATTGCTCAAATGTGCCTTTGAGCTGCCCAGTTCTGAGCAAGGATCTGGATGTAACTTGGTCTGGTGGCTTTCACCAAGTGGGTTTTTTCCTATGTCCCCAGAAGATTATGTTATCCAGTTTTTTTTTTAAGCAGCTGAACTCGAAGAGCACAGAAAGATAAAATAAAGGATAATTTTTGCTCTTATATAGAAGGATTAGGGTGTAGGTCTTTCTCTCCCTTTCCCACAGCTCTGTCAGCTTTGTGTCATCTGTGGCTGTGGAAATTTTCATTAGCAATGCTTCTCAGGTTACTGGGAACCGTCCTCCATGTGGGGAGCAGGAGATGCTGCTGGGAATGGCAGCAATATTCCCATGTGTGTTGTCATGACAAGTCTGTGACAGGCAAAGCACCTCGTTAAAGCTCCTTCACTCACCTCATCTCCAACCCTAAAATCTCCAAGTGCTCCAGTGATTCACAAACTTTGCCTCTTTGGCTTATTCAGCTGTTTTATGGGAAATTGCACAACACCAGGGTTTTCCAATTTGGATCACAACAAACCCAACGAAAAGTCTATCAGCTTTTCCTGTGAAATATAAAATACCAGCGGCTCAGTCCAAAGGGAGAAGTAAATAATTTCTCCCCAGCTCCAAGCATTTGAAGCTGTCTCCCCAAATATTGGATAAGATACAAAATAAATTGTGATGTTTGAAAGGATTGCCCTGATGTGGATAAAATGAAATTTGCTATCAGGAAGGTGCTGGAGTGGGGAAAATTGATTAATTGCTCCATATTGGGCTTATTTCCCAGCTTCAGGGTAAAATTTGATAAATAATTGGCAGTTTTCCAAAGGGAGACTGAGCGTCCTGCTTTGTCAGCATGACCTAGGACCTGAGACCACATGATTTATCCCAATTCCAGACATGGAAGCACCATATCCCACTGGCCTCCAAGCGATTCCCATTCCCAGCAGCTCAGTTAATAATCAAGGGATCCAGAAACCAGGCTTGATTTTGAACTGGGTTTGGGAAAACACATCTTTGGGCAACCCCAGCCCTGCCAGCCTGTGGAGTCATTTCTGCAAAGCACGTGGAAGCCCTGCCTGCTGTCACTTGCCCCTTGACAGCTTTTGGCCAGTGCATCACGTGTGACACAAGCCATTTCTGGGCTCGTGGAGCCAGACTGGAAGGAGCAAACAAACCTTGTTACATTCCCCATCCAAGCCCTGGCATGGGGCCACATCTTGCAGTGCCAGCCGTGTTTTTCCTTTTCCATGGGACCAGCCCCAGGACATAAACCTGGGGAAGAGCCGAGGTATGGCAGGAGTCTGCTCGCTGTGGTGATGTCACCTCGTCAGGGAACTCGTTCCTCTGCAAATCCCAATCCAGACTGGAGCTGGGCTTTCCCCTGATCACCCCGAGGGAATCCGCCCACAGGATCAACAACAGCTGGTGGAGGGTGGGAAAACATATAAAGCTCCCTGGGAGAAGCTCTCTGGACCTGTCCTGGCTGCCTGGATCTGCTCTCAGCATGAAGAAACTTCTGGTGGGATTCCTGCTTGGCCTGGCATTCGTGGAGTTGGGTAAGAGCTCCTCATTCCCAACACTCCAGGGCCCCCCACACTGGGAAATTCCTGGGAGGGCAGGGAGGGGAAAGACCTGGTAACCCCCAGGTAGGGGAAATGATGCCTTTTGTATTGAAGAAGGTCGAAGGAGAGGGTGAAATGGGAAAGGGGAGATGCATTCCTGGTGGGAAGAGCTGTGATGCCTGACTGGGAGCGATGCACGTCCTTTGGATACCTGTCACCCACATCCAGGGATGGAAGGGACAGCCACAAGGCACAGGGCAGGACCAGCCTGGAAAAGAACTTGAAGTGCCAGCCTCTACCTGAGCTGCCACCCTCTCCCATCAGGAATGTTCATCCCAAGCTCCTGACCTCCCTAAAACCGCCCAGCTGGCTGCTGGAAATGCTGAAAGCCAGAAGGTGAAACTTCAATGCAGATAAGGGTGAGGGTATGAGAAATAACTCCAAGGACATTGGAAAGTTTTATTAAACCCTCAGCTCCAGGATTTTCCCTTGTTTCAGGAGATAGGTGGAAATGGGAAATTCCCCCGGGTCTGTGATGAGTCTGGATCTTGGGCAAGCTGGCAGCAGGGTTTGGTCATCGCTGTGTCCTTCCTTCACGCAGATGTGACCAACTGCAGCCACATCCCTGCCTGGAACAGGCATTCCAGGGATGGCACCACCTCAGAGGGGTTTAGCTCACAGCCCACGGGCCCCAGAGATCCTCAGGCTGTTTCCATAGAAGAGCTCTAAGGAAAGGCAGCCTGGGCAGGAATAAAACATCTCCATTTGAATTCTTGTCTTGGATTTAATGGAATTTCTGAGAAACCACCCAAAGTCTCAAAGAATTTTATGGAAACAGAATTATCAACCTCATTTGCTTTATAGTTGAAATCAGGCAGAAATAATTTTTAATATTTTTAATAATTAATAATTATTTTTAAGTAATTAATTTTTTTAATAATTTTTTTTGCTTTATAGTTGAAATCAGGCAGAAATAATTTTTTTTGGGATGATCCAAAGGGAAGCAGCTGATCTAGGCACCCCTGTTGTGGCTGAGGGATGTGTCTGTGACCGTTCATATTCCTGAGGTTTGATATCAAGGAACTGAAGGTCCTGTTGGACAGTGAGGAACAGGGAATTATTGGCTCAGATCAGGATGCAGAGCTGTCTCTTTTCAGTTCTCCTGTCCTGGTCCTTCTGGATTTGGGCTTTGCTCTTCCATGCAAGCTTCCCACAAAACCCATGTCCTCTAAATGCTCCACACATGGTCAGTGAAAGATGGGGGGGTTGAGGTTTTCCTTCCTTAAACCTGCTTTTAACTGGGATTGATTCCCCCAAGGCACTTCCCAGCTCATCCATGAAAGTGTTGAGGTTTGTAAATGGAAACCACCTCACCCCAAGAGTTGCAGGGCAGTTTCTCAAATGCCTGGAGCCAGAACTGCTCTGTCCATACGTCCATCTATCCATCCTACACATCCACAGACATCCCAATGATTGTAGATAATGTGTTACCTCTGTTAAAATATATAACAATTTTATGGAATGGATCATGGATCATTGGGAAGGGATCTAGTGAGGTCCTGAGCAGGGATAAACAGGGATGGCTCCACCACCCTTGCTTACAGGCCACAAGAAAATTGAAATATTCCCATGAAAAAATCATTTTTACTTCTGCAAAGAGACAAGGAATTGTCTCTTTGAATTTAATTCCTTAGCAAGAGCTAAGGAATGAGAAAGAGAAGCTTTGTGCTGTGTAGGCTCTACCCCACAGCTGAATTTTCCAAAGGAGCTGCTGCGAGGAGCAGATGCCTTGAAAATTCCTTTCTGAAGTCAGGTGTTCAAACAAATGCCTTCAGAAATATTTATCCTTATCACAAAGCCCCAGAAGTTCCTCTGACCGCAGAACGGGAACAAAAAAAAAAAAAAAAAAAAAAAAAACAAACAAACAAACAGCGTCGCTGTGAATTTTTACCAATAGGTGGCACTGGACGCTTGCAGGTTGTTTTTCAGCCGGTGGAAGGAGGGTAGGATAGAAAATCTCAAACCAGACCGGTTTTTGTCATCAAGCCACACCAGCAGGACTTTGGAAATTCCACACTCTCAGCGTCTGCTGGCTGTGGATAGACAGTGCTCACGCTGAGGTTTTTGAGAGCTGCTGTGACCAAGATTTGCATATTTAGAGGTGTTCCTCCCTCAGGCGGCAGACAGCACGGGTTTGCACATCACCTCTCCAAAAAGCAGCAGTAGCCCCTGATGAGAGTGGTTTTAAGATGCCCTCAGCATCTCTGACACAGCTCTGAAATTTAAATCCTGCTCTCAGTTACTGATTCCTGCAGAATTTCACTGAAACGAGCAGGAAGGAGCTGTTGCTGTGAGGGGAGGGATGGGGGAACTGCCACGGTCACAGCTCTCAGCAGAAGGAGCTGCGTTTTACCATCATGGAATATCCTGATTTGGAAGGGACCCACAAGGATTATCAAAGTCCAGTTCCTTGCCCTGCACAGGACATCCCAACAATCCCACCCTGGGCCTGAGAGCATTGTCCAAACACCTTCTGAGCTCCTGACGCCGTGACCATTCCCTGGGGAGTCTGCTCCAGTGCCTGGCCACTCTCTGGGGGAAGAACCTTTTCCTGATATCCAACCTAAGCCTCCCCTGACGCAGTTTCAGGCCATTCCCTTGGATTCCGTCACTGCTCCAGAGAGAAGAGATCAGCGCTGCCCCTCCACTTTCCCTCATGAGGAAGTTGTGGATCCCAGAAATTCTCCCCTCAGCCTCCTCTTCTCCAGGCTGAATTCTTACAGAGGATACTCAGACCTAACAAAGCTCAAGCTTAGGTCCCTCTAAATCCTGGTGTTTTTTGTTTTTTGGGTTTTTTTGTTTTTTTTGGTTTGGTTTGGTTTGGTTTGGTTTGGTTTGGTTTGGTTTGGTTTGGTTTGGTTTGGTTTGGTTTGGTTTGGTTTGGTTTGGTTTGGTTTGGTTTGGTTTGGTTTGGTTTGGTTTGGTTTGGTTTGGTTTGGTTTGGTTTGGTTTGGTTTGGTTTGGTTTTTTTTTTGGCTGCTGAGCCTCCAAAGTCATGCTTAGGCCCAGCTCCTGCTACACCACCCTTGTCCTCCAGTGCTGGGATTTGCTCTTTTCCCCCCTGGCATATCCAAGCTTTGCCATTGCCTCTAGACATGTGTAATTTTGGAGACTGCTGCATTTTGGCCAGAAAGCTTCAGATTTGGGCCTGTCTTCCCTGCTGTGTCACCTCAGAGCCCTTCTGTCCCCTCTGCAGCCCAGTCCCTGCGATGTTATGTGTGCAAGGAGCCCACAGACATTTCCAAGTGCAGGACACCCGTCACGTGTTCCCCAAAAGCCACTGTGTGCACCACGACGCTGCACTCCATGGAGACAGGTGAGTGCCACCACTGCCCCTGAGGGCTGCTGGGGAGAAATCCGAGAATTCCAGGATGGGTTGGGTTGGGTTGGGTTGGGTTGGGAGAGAGCTTAAAGATCATGGAACTCTAAACTCCCACCTTCCACTATCCCAGGTTGCTCCAAGCCCCATCCAACCTGGCCTTGGACATTTCCAGGGGTGAGGCAGCCACAGCTTCTCTGGGAAACCTGTGCCAGGGCCTCACCACCCTCACAGCCAAGAATTCCTTCCCAAAATCCCATCTAACTCCAGCCTCTGGCAATGGGAAGCCATTCCTCCTTGTCCTGTCCTTCCATCCCTTGTCCCAAGTCCCTCTCCAGCTCTCCTGGAGCCCCCTTGGGTGCTGGAAGGGGCTCTGAGGTCTCCCTGGAGCCTTCCCTTCTCCAGGTGAACACCCTCAACTCTCCCAGCCTGGCTCCAGAGCAGAGGGGCTTGGAGCATCTCCATGGCCTCCTCTGGACCTGTTCCAGCAATTCCCTGTCTCTGTCATGTCAGGACCCCAGAGCTGGAGGCAGCTCCCACTCTTCAGGGGGGACCTCACTAGAACAGAGGGGGAGAATCACCTCCCTCAGTCTGCTGGCCACACTTCCCTCTCCCCATCCCAGTCCCAACTTGGATTATTCTTGAACATCTCTGTAAAAACCCAGGTGAAATTATCCCACTTTAGAGAGAGAAGGAGGGAAATCCATCGGATTTGGAGCCTCATAGTGAAGTAGCAGGACTCACTGCACTTGTTGCCTCTGTGTTGCCTTTCCTACCCCAATATCTCTGTGGACCTTGAATTTATAGAGGGTGCAAACATCTACAGGAATTGTGTCCCTTCTCCATGCTGGAATGATTTTGGAAGGAGCAGGAGGGTGAGAGTTGGCAGTGAGAGCTGGCAGGCCTGTTCCCACAAAAAACAGGCTGGGTTAGAGGCACCCATGGATTAGGGATGTCCAACACCTCCCCTGTCAGTGTTTCTCAATCCCATTTTCCTTCCGTATTTTTTCCCCTCTCTCACCTCCTCCTCCTCCTCCTCTCCAATCCGCCTCTCCCAGGTTATCCCTTTTTTGGCAACATCACCGTGACCAGGAACTGTGAGGAGGAATGCATCTCCTATGACGGGATAGGGGACCAAAAGCCAAAATCCTGCTGCTACACCGACCTGTGCACGGATGACACCAAGAGCAGCAGTGGGGTGAGGAGCAGCTCTGCAGCGCTGGGTCTGCTGGCCCTGGTGGCTGGCACGGTCCTCCAGTGCTCCCTGTGAGGTCACAAGTGTCCCAGCTCCAGCTGAAAGCCCACCACTCTCCTTGCCATGCTGCCTCATGAACTCTTAGATGCTTTGGGAATGTCCTTCTTCGCTGACGTGTGGCTTCGCCCCATCTTCAACGCTGGATTCAAGCCAAGGGATTGGGCACCTGGACTTAAACTCCTCAAATCTCCAGTTTCCAGCTGTTCAAGCAGCTGTTCCTCACCTTCAGCTGCTTCTGATCCTCAGGATCCACAGAGAATGGGGTGGGTTGGAAGGAACCTTCAAGGTCATCCAATTCCAACCCCCTGCCACAGGCAGGAAGACCTTCCACTATCCCAGGCTGCTCCAAGCCCCATCCAACCTGACCTGGAACACTGCCAGGGACCCAGGGACAGCCACAGCTTCTCTGGGAATCCTGTGCCATGTCCTGATTGAGAGGAGCAGATGGATCTTGGCCCAGGTACTTCCTGCCCATCAGGGTGTGGGTGGCAACTGCAGAGATCTGGAGCTTAAGTCCAAGGATAAGCTAAGGAATGAGTTCAGAAGGGCTCAGCTTCCATGTGGGAGTGGGATGGACTTCTGGAAAGCTCAGCACACCCCTTGGACTGACAGACCTGGGTAGGTCAGACCTGCAACCCAAATTTCCAAGTTTGGCCAGACAAACACACCCCCGCCTCAGCTTCTGCCTGAGCCCAGGTTGCAGTTGAGCTCCCAGATTTTCTTTTCCAGATGTTTTAATGACTATTACAAGAAAATTCTTCTCTTATTCTGCCCTCCCTTCATCCCTTCAGAGCAGAAACTGCAGAGTAGGAAAAATAATGGTTATCCCAGACCCTCAGCTCTGGGAAAAAAATCAGTTAAAAGTGCTGGGATCACAGCTGGGATTTGCTTGGAGCAGATGTGGGATTGATTCTGAGGCCCTGCCTGCTGTAAAAGCAGCTGCAGTGGAAGCAGATATGAATGAGCCAGGTGTTCCCAGCTCACGGAGTTGCAGGAAATTTGACATTCACTCTGTTCCTATTGCCAGGGAACATCCAGATGATCGGGAAGCAAGGGTAGAGTGGAGCACGGATACACCCCCTGCACCATCCTTGTGTGTTCACAGCATCCCTGCAACCTCCTCTGTGCCAAAGTCTATTTTTCCTCCATTTTTTCCCCTTTTCCACTCTCTTTCCACAAGAAATCAAAGTAGGGGGCTCTTTTTCCTCCTTGCACAGAGGGAATAGTTTCTCAAGTTCTGTCTCAGTAACATTTAGAAGAAAACTCCGACAATTTTGCATTCCTTGGCACAGCTCAGGAGGATGGTGAGCCCTTTTTCCTGGAGGTGAAACCCTCAGAGCTCCACTAAAACATTGAAAACCCCCTGGCAATGCTGAGATATACAGGGAGCAAATGCCATGGAGAGGATAATAATTGGAAGTCACTCAAATCACAGTATTCCACCCACCCTCACAGACACTGAGCTCCAGCCCCTGCTTCCCACTCGTCTGTTCTGTTTTTCCCTGCTTCAAAACCAGTCGGATGTGTCAGGCCAGAAGCAAAGCTTCATCCTTGCCATCCTCAGATCACATTCCTTTTTTTTGTTTTATCCCGGCTCCATCAGCCTTTCCATATTTTCTGCAGGATCCTGGGCTCTGTTTTCTACCCGTGGGTGGGGTAGGGTCTGGATACAGAGGGATTGGGAGCATGAGGGTTCCCTTCTGGGTGAGAATTTCATAAATAAAGTTGGATTCTCTGGTTTTCAGCCTGCAGCACCTTTCTTTTGTGCTCGATATCTCCGTGGGAAAGGAGTGTGGGGCAGCACAAGGGGAGAGGGGTTTCTGGCTTGTTTTTCAGCTCCCAAACTGCCCTGTGCCAGACAAGGGGAAAACCACACACAGGGATGAGCAAGGGAGTGCAAAAATCCTCCTTGGAAAAGCCAGATTTAAAGCTATCCCTGCTGAAAAATGAGGGGCAGAAGGGTAAAACACAGTCCAGTGGAACAGGAAGCTTTTTTGGGATATGCACTGAGAGAACTGGAGGGGTTTCAGGGAGCAAAAGAGAAAGTGCCTGAGCTCAGCAGCGAGGCAAACAGGAGGCTGGGGGTGACCCTGCTGTGTTTCAAAGATGCTCCCTGTGGGGACTGTCCCCTCATGTCACCAGTGCTGGCTGTGAGCATCCTGCCAGGACTTACCTGCCAACGTGACCCACGAGTTTCTGCTGGAGCCAAAACAGACTCAGAAGCAGATTTTTATCTTCAAAGCACCTCTAATACATTCCTTGATTAGGAGAGGTGACAAACCCTTCACACAGGGGTGGGTACAAAATGGCCTTTTTTTGTATTACAAGTCACCTGATCACACTGTGGCAGCCACAGGGCCGAACAGGAGTCACTGAGAGCACTTAAAAAAACCAAATTTGCTCTTTCTTTGCTTATTGCTGTTATTTATCCCTCCCTTTGCCCCTTAGGAGTTAAACCCAGCGAGTGCCACTGCCCCAGGAAATGCAGGAGATTCAAAGGCCTGGCCAGATTTTTGCGTCACTGGGTCGAGTGGACACAGGGAGAGAGAAGTTTAAATATAGGCTGGAGAAAATAGAACAGAGGAAAATGTGTCTCCAAAGGGCCAGAAAAAGACCTGCAAACTCTCGGTCCTGTCAGAGAGGCTTCACAGCCAGCAGAATCCAGCGCTGATGTTTCTCTGCTGAAGGATTTTTCTGAGGGCTTGTTCTTCCCAGCACAGGCAGAGGTTTTGTCTCCAGATTTGAGGGCATTCCTCAGTGCCTTATGCTTCATCTGGTAAAAAAAATTGCCTTTTCCACCGCCTTCCAGCCCCTCTGCAAATGTGGGGCAGCACTAGAGATATGCAGAGTCATGGAATGGTTTGGGTGGAGAGGGAGATTCAAGAGCATCAAATTCCAACCCCCTGCCATGGGCAGGGACATCTCCCACTATCCCAGGCTGCTCTAAGCCCTGTCCAACCTGGCCTCGGACACTTCCAGGGATGGGGCAGCCACAGCTTCTCTGGGCAATCCATGCCAGGGCCTCACCACCCTCACAGGGAGGAATTTTTTCCTGATTTCCATCTCCCAGCTTCCAGTTACAAACCCGAAGTGCTTTTTTCCATGCAGAAATTAAAGTACAAGAGAGGCTCATCTGTGAGGATATTCCAGCTGGGATACCCTGTTGAGTCCCACCTCCAGCCAAAAATCAGGGCTATGTATGAGCCTGGAGTAGGCTTTTCTTGTGAGCTCCGCAATTCTGGACGGTGGAGTGGGCATTCCAAAAGATAATTTCTCTGGTAAGACAAAACGCTCAGCTTGGATTTAAACTGAAGGAGGAGCCAGGTTCAATCCTGGTTTGCCCTGAGCAGGATTCCCAGAGAAGCATCATGGGAACAGCAGGATTAATATTTAAAGGACTGGGTTTTCCAGCAGGGATCATTTCCAGTTGCTTTCCACAGCAGGACACTGGTCAGGCCATGAGTGGTGGTTGTTATCCCAGCATGCCCTGATTGCAGAGGTGGGAAAAACCAGGAGCTGTTTGGCTGCTTTGTTTTTCAAAAATTTTATATATTTTTTCGTGTTTGGGAGCAGGAAGAGAGAGAAAAAAAACCCCACACAGCCCTCTTGGAACACACATTAAACATGAAAGAGAGATGAGACAAGGGCAGAAATTATTGCGATATTCCAAGAGCAGGAAAAAGAAGGGGATATTTTTTGCAGTTGGGACATTGCATGTAAAACAGAGCTCTGATGTCATCAAATACAGAGAGGACTTGTAGTTCTTGCTAAAAATACTTATCTAGAATATAAATATACATTAGCGTGTAGCTGCGAGGCTTCTGGAGAGCTCTGCTACAGCCTTGTATTTACAGAGAGGGATTTAAATGTTTAATTCTGCACCCTCAAAGGAAAGTCACTCCATCTGAAGGAGTTATTAATTATGGAATGAGCCTGGCAGCACTGTAGTACAGCAGCAGTGATATCATTTTCAATATCACTCCCAAATTATTTCTCATCTCAAACCTATCATGTGCACTTTTTTCCAGTCTTAAAATAGAGCTATTTTTCCATATTAGGGTTTGGAGGGCTTGGAGCATCTGCCTCTGACATGGCAGCACATCCTCTCTTGGATATCTTCATTTTTCTCCTGCTTGACTCTCACATCTCTAATTCCAGAGGAACACAGAAGCCTCTTTCCCTCTTTATTCTGTACAGCCCCAGAAAACAAAGCCTAAAAATGAGGTGAAAAGAACCTTTCAGTGTCAGCAGCAGATGTGTTGAGGGGGAAGGAAGTCGAGCGCAGCGTCGTGGTTGGGATCTTAATTTAGAAAAGTCATTTTGGGTCACTTGGATACGAGAGAGATGCTCAGAGTGTTGGAAAAGGCTGGGGCAGATGGTCTGGGTGGGCTCCACCTCCGGCACAGTCCTGGGGCTGCACTCTGCACATTCCCATCTGGTTGGAAAACACATAGGATGTGTTTTAATCCGTCTGTGCCCTGTTCTGGGTCCTGATCCCTTTTATCCCCCAGTCCCCATTGGACAGATGGGAATTGTCACACGTTGGTGGCTCCAGGCTGGGTCCAGCCACACATTTTTTTTAGGACTGAGCTTTAAGTTTCTGAAAATCCTCAGTAAATGTGGGTGGGGATATTGTGCCTTGCGGGGAAATGGTTTTGCATCAGCTCATGGTTGGGGAAGTTGCTGAAATCCATGAGATCCAACATGTTACAGGGAACTGAAAGCCAAAACATAGGAAATCCATGGATCAGAGTGCCAAAAACCTACTCCAGAATCTCAAAAAAATATCCTACAGGCTGCCTTTGGCCAGCAGGTCTCTTAATGGAATCATGGAATGGTTTGGGTTGGATGGGTCTGTAAAAATCATCAAATTCCAACCCCGAGCCATGGGACATCTTCCACTATCTCAGGTTGCTCCAAGCCCTGTCCAACCATGCCTGGAGCACATCCAGGAATGAGGCAGCCACAGCTTCTCTGGGAAACCTCTGCCAGGACCTCCCCACCTTCACAGCCAA